CATAAACGTTTCTCGAAGTGTAGTCGCCTAAACACGCTGGAGGACGCGCGCTGCGTGGAGGGGGCAGATGTGTTGGTGCTGCTGATGCTGCAGGGAGGGGCATGACGTCACAGGACAGACCGGGAAAAGAGGCGAATGGGGAGAAAAGAGGAGGGGGAAGGAGGAGAAGGGACGCGGCAGAGCGGGGGGAAGACGCATCAAAGGAAAACAAAGCAAAAAAAATATATATACATATATATATATAAAATCATAATAATAATGACTCCTATAATCAACACTACGCCTCTCTGCACACCATAATGGCTCCACTGTTTACCTACACAGTGTGCAATAAATGACGAGTCGCCCCACGAAGGTAATTATCATCTTTCCACTCTGCACGCCTTTTTTTCTCTTATCACGCGTGGCTGTTTGGTGGTATTCACCTTTAAGACCTTTAAATGTCCATGCCAGAAAATTCAGAGCATCATTTACGAATAATTTGGGATGAGTCAACCGACCTAAGGCTGCAAGAATAACAGCAGCAATCAGCATTTTCCTCAGATTTTTGTTGAAGTGCGACCGATTGTGATGAATTATCCCTGTACCAGTCTCTGCTAAGGGTCCATTGTGTCCGACCTTGTCTTCCTGCATGAAAAATTAAAATGGAAACAGGCGTGATGAGAGCACTGCCGCAGAGAACACTGCTGTATCAGCCGGAGAGCACATGGGCAGTGCGCACAACATGCGCACTGGGCGCAGTGCGTCCGCTCATCTCTGCAGTGTCCTCTCAGCAGCGCTGTGTCTGGAATCATCAGCTCTGCAAAACACAACTATATCATTTTTTTTCTGAACTATAAAAAAAAAAACAGTTTTGTCACGCCTCAGTTTTATATTGGTGCTGCATAAGACTCTTCTTTCATGCCACAGTGTACTCCAGCTTGAGAGAGATGTCATCTCCAGGCATGGGCACCCCCACTGACCCCCTCCTGGTCAGTCCAGGAGGGAGGTTATCCTCAGCTCAGGAAGGCCTCTGGAGGACCTCATTACCCAAGACGGCCAGCTTTCCAACATCCACCACAAGGCACCTCAGTCACAGAGCCAACAACTTCCAAAGACAGCCGAAGCGTAGGAAACTGATAAGACCCTCACCGCCTCCCCCACCTAACACGCCTTGTCCCCTGGACCAGCTGGACCTCAGCGAGCTTCCTCCTAGACGGACCTTCCGTGAGCTACTCTTTAATGGCTGCATCCTGTTTGGGATTGAGTTCAGCTACGCCATGGAAACGGCCTATGTGACACCTGTGCTTTTACAAATGGGCCTGCCGGATCAGTTCTACAGCCTGGTGTGGTTAGTTAGTCCCATTCTTGGTAAGTCAATCACTGGATTAATGTTTTTTCTATTTCAAACCAGACTGAAAATCTTTTTTTCTGTGTTTGTCTTGAAGGATTCCTTGTTCAGCCTCTAATAGGAGCATGGAGTGATCGTTGCACATCCCGATTTGGGAGGAGAAGACCCTTCATTTTTGCTCTGGCTGTAGGTGAGGGATGCTCAGATAATAACACAGAGGTCCTGCATTACACTGAATAAAGTCACAGAGCTTATGAGACAAAGGATAACATTTGAAAGGTTATAGAAAGCATGACCTATACCAGAGTTTAGGGTTTAGTCTAAATTTTTTGGTTTGTAAGGAGACCCCTGTCAGCTACAAGTCAGATTCCTGGGAAGCAGTTGTAGACTAGCAAAGAGCCAGAGAAAATAGATTAGTTTAAAAAGTGTAAGGCTCTACATGTTTTCTTGTAGCTACTAGTTCTATGAAACTCTAAATAGCCTTTTAACCAAGATAACAATACATTAATATAATAAAAACATTAATCTAGCTGTAAAAAGTATTATGTCTAATAATTTTGGCAAAACATGGTAAATTTTCTGTTTAAACAATTCATACCCTCATACCAGCTTTAAGCCTGAATGACATATCATTCTTAATTGTTGGAGAAAGTAATCTCAATATAAAAAAATGGGATAGAAATCATGCCTTTCCTGTCAGTGTTACCCCTATTTGGCTTTTTTAATGGTATCAGTCACACATTTGCGATTTAAGAATACTTTATTTATCCCAAGGGGGAGTTAAATGTGGACTGTAACATTTTTGCTCCTTTCTGTTCAATATAGGGGCTTTAGTTGGTCTATCCTTAGTTCTGAACGGTCGAGACATTGGGGGCGCCCTGGCTGACACGGCATCCAATCACAAGTGGGGCATCATCCTGACAGTTTGTGGGGTAGTTTTGATGGATTTCAGCGCCGATTCGGCTGACAACCCGAGCCACGCCTACATGATGGATGTGTGCAGCCCTGAGGATCAGGATAGAGGGCTCAACATTCATGCATTACTAGCAGGTAAGGTTTTTGTTTTTATGGTTTCTGTTGAGCTGTGTGGACTTAGTCAGAACCGTAATGACCTTTCTTCCTCATCGATTGTAATACAAGTCATGTCCCCTGGCAGATTTAGATATAAATCTATCTTTATTTATCCAATAAGTTTGTACAGGACAGGAACCCTGTAAAACACTTTTCTGGTTTTATATAATGTTAAATGAAAATGATACACAGGTGCAATAGCTCTACCCTTTTCTTTGTTCAGTGGAAAGGCTTTTATTGGGACAGAATCAATCAAACATTCCTTTTAATTAGTCAGATATTTGCAAGTCTTAAAATATTTTCTTGAGGATTTGTCTTTGACAATGAGCTCCATGTATTTCTTAGTGAATGCTCCCCTTTGTATCACCCTAATCTTTAACTTTCTTTACAGATTCTTATATTTATTCTGACAAAGAATCTGACAAAGAATCTTTAACTTTCTTTACAGATTATTTGTCAGAATAAATTTAAGACTCTGACTGGGTCACTGTGTTTTGAATAATTGTGTAGGAGTAATATATAATAAGCAGAATTTAATTGAACAACAAAATAAGTTTAAGTGAAAAAATATCTGTAACCCAGGATATGAAGAGTTTAGGCTAGGTATTGATTTACTGTTTGTGAACATTAATACAATAACTTGATATTTCACTGTTAACTTTCTTCATTAAAAAGCAAATTGAGAAAGCTAAGCTTGTGTAATGCCTCAGGCTAGGAGTAGAGACTCTCTTGCAGAGTAGTGATAAAAAGACAACAAACACCTTGAATGTGTCG